GTGTGTGTGTGTGTGTGTGTGTGTGTGTGTGTGTGTGTGTGTGTGTGTGTGTGTTCAAGAAAGAATAACTCAGCCCAAGCCCTAACTAAGCACTGAGACCATGCTTCCTTTAGAAGGACAGCTAATGAGAGAAGAGAGAAGAGGTGCTGATTCCAACTCTCCAACACTGCTCTCTGTGTCGTGTGCTATAACAGTTACCTCCATGCAGAATCAATCCAAAAGAAGAAGTTGGCTATTTACATCCTCACCCCTGTCTGCTCACACCCTCCACACTCACGGTGTTGTCCTCGGTTCCCTTCCTTGCTGGGAAAGGCTTCCCAGCTACCCCAAGTAGGCTTCAAAAGTCTTTTTGAAGCCTCCCTCCCCCACTCCACCCCCCACTCCAAGCATCTCGGTTTCTTTTTCCTCCCGTTCTTGTTGATCATTTAACTGTGCATGGCATTTTGGGCACCAAGTAGAGGATGGCTATCGTGGCAAACCTTTGAGAGAAATCCCAATGCGCTGAGGAATGTCATGGAAATGAGAGATAGTCATGAAAAGTCAGACATCTGGGCAAAGTTTAAAAGGACTGGGCATGCCCGGCCTTGAGCTAATATCATTGTGAGCAGCCTGGATGACAGTTTCCTAATACATCAAGAATGCACGCAGAAGGGTAGGATCCATTTTCCATTCATCAGCGACAGCAGAAGGAACAGAAGCATCTTAGGTTTCAGCCGAGGAAACACCCGTCACATGTCTGAGCGGCAGGGGAAGAGAAGCTGCCAAGGGGTGGCTCTGAGTCACTTACTATGCAACACAGCCACTGGAAACGCCATTCGGAGAGCGACACAGCAACGTACACAAGGTCTGACCCCATCGAGACTCTGGGAAGCGCCACCCCCCATGGCCTAGGTACTACAGTCGGGATCTTGGATGCTGCCCTCCAAACCCATGTGTTGACAGTTTGGTATCTAGCCTGTGGCACTAATGGGAAACTGTGGAGCCTTTAGAACCCAGGGCTTGATAGAAGGACGTAATATCATTAGGGCTGTGCCCTTGAAGAAGGCACCATGAGCTCAGCCCCAGGAACAGTTAATCCTGACTGCCGACTTGATGGGATTTAGAATCACCATGAAAACAACTCTCTGGGCATGTCTGTAGGGATCATCTACATTAACGAAGATGGGACCATGTACTCTGTATAGTCCATGGGTTGGGGTCCTGGACTGAATAAAAAGGAGAAAGTGAACCGAGATTCTTGACTGTGCTTCTTGACTGCAGACCAAGGTGGACAGCTATCTCAATTTCCTACAGCCATGATGTCCCCATCATGTTAGACCATATATGCTTGAAGTGTGGAGCCAAAGGAGCCCTTCCTCCATTCACTCTGCTTCTCATCAGCTACTCTGTCCCAGCAGGAGACAAGTAACTGGTATAGCCCCTTTCTGTCTCTTTGCTTCCCAGATGCCACGACAGCGTTCTTGTCTACGCACTCAACCCACAATGCCCGGAAGCAGTGGGATGCCTGACTGTGGCCTGAAACTCCATACCCTTTTTCTTTTTCAGAGTTAATTGTCTCAGAACCCTACACACAGTAGCAGAAAGTTGGCTGGCACGCTGGGTAATCCCAGTGGCTGAAGAGATCTAGTTGAAGAGACTACCAGAAGATTCTAGTTCTGTTGTTTATTCTAGACACCCAGGAACCTAGCCATTTCAGGTTGCCCTCCACAGAAGCATGTTTTCGGGGAAAGACCATTTATTCCTTTGCCACAGCCCACTTCTGTCTTGCTGGTAGCAGCAGCAGCAGCAGCAGCAACGACAATAACCACGTTATCAACAGTTCTCTGAACCACAGAATTGCTGTTCTAGGCCATGAGCTGGGCACACTTGGTCCTTTGCTCACCATCCTCATCATCAGTCTCATTTTATTGGTGAGAAAATTGAGCTTCAGAGAGGATGAAAGACTCCCCTACAGCCCACTTCTGGACACACATGAGATATGACTGGAGTCCAGGTCCCCTGAGTTCAGGGCCCACACTCACCATCGTATACCTATGCTGACAGAAACCAAGGATGCATTTCAGACCACTCACAAAGAACTGATCTAAACATGGCTCTTGAGATGCGCAGGGGAATCAATGCTAGCCCCGTGATAATGTTCAGGAGAAGAGGAAATGAAGACACACACACACACACACACACACACACACACACACACACACATCACCCATCGGTCTCCTCTGCTGGAACTGCCACCCCACACTGTACAGATCTGGTGAGATTTAAAACCAGGTCTCAGGGCTGTAGAGACAGCACAGCAGTTAAGGGCACTTACTGCTTTTGCAACAGACCCAAGTTCAGTCACCAGCACCCATGTGATGGCTCACACACATCTGTAACATGGCTTCCAAGCGTTCCAAAGCCCACATCTGGCTGCAGCTAGCACCAGGCATGCACATGGCGCATGTACAAGACTTGCAGCAGTGTGGATGTCCTCATGCTGTCTCCCACATGTATCCGTCCAGGGTTCAGTGTTGTGGAATACTTGTACACTGTGTGAAGAGGTACTGCTGTGATTGATTTAATAAAGAGCTGAATGGCCAAAAGCTAGGCAGGAGAGAAAGGTGGGATTTCCAGGGAGAGAGAGGAAGATGAAGAAGAATCTAGGTGACCAGATTACACCAGAGAGGCCAGTGAGACTCAGAAGGAACGCATCAGACACACAGAATGGGACAGAGGTAAAAGTCACATGGTAGAATGTAGATTAATAAAAATATTTAAGTTATAAGAGCTAGTTGAAAACAAGTCTAAGCTAAAAGTCAAGCTTTAATAGTTAATAATAAGTCTCTGGGTCATTATTGTGAGCTGGCAGCCCAAAGAAAAATTTGACTACAGTGCAGGGTTTCCCAGAGGCCTCTGGGGCCATTAGCCAACCAGCATATTATTATGCACCCAGAAATCCTGCCAGAAGATCGCTGAGTAGTGGTTGTTGGAAGACTTCCATAAAAAGGAGAGATAGTGTACAGACCCTCCCCTTCTACCCCAATCAACCCTGAATCGGCTTTCCATTCCTGCTCGTCCATTTTCTTAGCACCTGAATGCTGTCCGGCCAGGGCTTCATCACAAAGTTCTCTGAGGTCTCCTATATCAGATGGTGCTGATAAGGGACTGGCCAAGAGACTGGTGGCACGAGACTTCAAAACAGCCACCTAGTATTGCATAAGAACCACCACAGAACAAACTTGAGCACAGGGTGTCAGATCATGGCCTCAGTCCTGAGCATTCAGGTTCACAGTGTGACAGCTGTGTCCACCCACAAAAGGAGCACCATTCAGAGCAGCTGGGGGCAGGGCAGGGTGCCTGCAGGGACCCTGCAGACGTGAGTAAGAGTGGATTTTATGCTGTTCAGTCATCCACAGGCCAGTGTCAAGCCTGGAGTCAGATGAATGAAATTTCTTCCTTTGTGGTGGAAAAACTGGATTCAAGCCACAGATACACACTACCGGGGAGTCTGCATTTAACTTCCAGCTTCGCCAAACTCAGTGGAGCTTAAAGGAGAATTTTCCCCCATGCAGAGACTAAGAAAGCCCAAAGAACAAAACACAATGAAGCACAAGGAAGAGAGAAAGAGACTTCCAGAGCTTTCCTCTCTCTAGGCTCTCCCCAGAGCTTTCCTCTCTCTAGGCACTACCCAAAGCAATGCACAGGAGGGAAGGGGATGGGGAAACCCAGATGGCCTCAAAAATCTGGCCTTGTGGACTCTAACCTGTGATGGTAATTGTCACACCCAAATAGCATGTGTAGAGCAACATGCACCAAGGAGCTAAGCAAAGAAATGATGACCTTCCCTCATGAGTTAATGCTTAATTGCTTTCTAGCAGACACACACGTCTTAAATAAGACCGTCTCTCCGGGTCATCTTTTGTGATTCTGCTGCTTCTCCAACTATGCCTAGCAACACACATATGAGATACAGCTAGATGGAATATAGTTTCGAGGATGCAGAAATGTTCTGTATTCACAGTCAGTCTGCCCCTCTCAGCATATAATGAATATCTCTGGCCCCACATAAGGCTTGAGAACCTTAGCATCTGATGCTGTTACTCATCCTGGAAACAATAAGCCATGAACTTAATTAGAATCAGAGCCTGCTACCTTCATGCTGCCCATGGCTTTGAACGCCACTGCTAATCTTGAAGGGGTCAGCGTTGCCAGCATTGCGTTGAATCTTGCACTCTTGCTTTGAATGGGTGAATGGTACTGTCCGTCGGGGGCCACAGAACCAAACCTGTGAGGATGTAGGGAAGCAGGATGGAAAAAAGAAGATGGAGTTTAAGACAAAACAAAGTATGGCACCACTAGAAATGAAATCATGTGACTCCCTTGTAGACGCAGAAATGGGAATCCTGGGAGCTTCTCATAGGAAATGCTGAGAAGGGCTTGCTAGTGGAAGGTAGGGGCAGGTTCTCTACCAATGCCAGCCTGCAGTGCAGTAGCAGCTCCCAAAAAGGGAGAGGAGGAAGACCACCACCATCCACCAAAGCCAGTGCCCGAGTGTGCAAGCACACACCGGCTTGCCTCCTTAAAACAATTAACAACCCATAAAATCCACCTGTTTCAGCATTTGGATTTGGTGGGTTTTATGATGTTCACAATCATTATTACTCCTCAACTCCAAAATTGTCATCAGTCGAAGAGAAACCCCACACCATTTACAGTCGCTCTCTATATTATCCGCCCTCCAGTCCCGGGCAAGCAACTTTCTTACATTTATGGATCATCATCCTACTCTTTGCATCAGTGGGAACAAAATATGGACCGTGTTCTTGGGTCTGGCTTCTTTCACTTGGCACAAGGATTGCAAGGTTCACCTATGCTCCAGCTTATATCAGCACTTATTTTTTTTATGAATTACTATTCCACTCAATTGTTGTTAGCATTTATCAGCTCACAGATGTTAGAATTGTTTCCACTTTGAGGATATTATGAGTAATTATGCTATGAACATTTGTGCTCAAGTTTAAGTGGGACAAATAGATGTACACATTTCAATGAGCATATGGACAATGTCTCTCTATATATATTATACATATATATGTATATATGTATGTATATACACACACATACATACAGATATACATGTGTATCTGGAAATAAAACTGTTGGGCCATCTAACTTCAAACATTTTTTAAAAGATTTATATATATATAGTGTGTGTGTTGCATGAGTTTAATGCACACCACTTGAGTACAGAAGCTCACTGAGGCCAGAAGATGAGATGCAATCAGCATCTGATTAACATTAGATCCTCTGGAACTGGATTTAGACAATCATGAGCCATTCTGTGGGTGCTGGGAACTGAATCGGGTTCCTCTGCAAGAGCACCAAACACTCTCAACTGCCGAGCCCTCTCTCCAGTCCAAACAAAAAGCTTTTGAGGAATTGCTAAGTGATTTTTCAAATCTATGGAGACATGTCACAACACTGCCAGTGACACATGATGGTCCTAATGTCTCCTCAACTTCACCAGCACTTGGTATTGTCTGCATGTTTTACCGTAGCCATCCCAAGGGGTGCAGAATGCTTTCTCACTGTGACTTCACAGCAGTCTCTCAATGATAGTGGGACTGGTGAGTTTTCTTAGAGAGCTGAATATCTTCTATGGGGAAATGTCTATTCGTATTTTGTTTATTTTTTTTAACTGGTCATCTGTCTTGATTAACTGAGATAGCTTTTACATTCTAGATGCTAGGCCCTTCTGATGTATTTTACTTACAAGTCTTTCTTCAGCTCAAAAGACTATTTTCACTAAGTTTTTAAAATTTTTCACAAACTCTAATTGCTCTACTTTTTGTGAGTTTTCTTTACCTGTACTTTTGGTGTCATGTTGAATAACTCACTCATGAGACCAACGTCACTAACTCTATGCCCCAGGTCTCTTCGAAGAACTGTGTGCATGTATGTTGGGTGATGTGAGATAAGATTTCAGCCTATCGTTTTTTTTAATATAGATAGCCACATGTCCTGGAACCACTTGTTGAAAAGACTATTGTTTCCTCTTCCTCTTTGTCTTAGTGCTCCAGAAGTCTAATAATTGTCAATAAACATGAGGACTTATTTGTGAACTATTCTATTCCATTGCCCATAGACCCACCCTTATGCTAATGCCATACAATCTAGATTACCACAGCTTGGTCATAAGCTTTCAGATTTCAAGTATGAATCCTCCCACTTTGTTCTTTATAAAGATGTTTTTTTTTTATTCTAGGTTTCCTATACTTGCATTTAAATGTTAAGGTGAATTTATTAATTTCTTCAAAAATGAAAATGACAGGTGAAAAAAATTTTTAGAGAGACTGTATTGAATCATTTATTTACATCTATTAACTGGTTCACTTTCTAATCAAATGTTGAACCATGCCTCCAGAAGACTACTCCTTCAAAATCTCATGCAGCCAATGTTTTGTAGTATGAGGGACAACTTAAATGGTAATGAAATAATATTAAAAATCAAATCCAGTTCATCAAAGTGATGTATTATCTACAAACAACACAAGCCCACAATCATTCTTCTTTCTCACTGAATCTGACTTTCCGATCTCTAGTGCATTTGGTGAGCCCTTCCCATTGGCCAGTGGTCTTCTGTGGCTGGCTCTGATTAGTGTGATGGAATATGGGAGCTGCCAATTGTGACTTTCCTTCGCTTTTCCATCCTCCAGAGTGGGTGATGCTGACCAAGAGCCTAGGAAATGGACAGGCCCCTCCAGGGAAGGGGGGTCGCTCAGACCCACTTTCACAAGCACTGGCGGCTGCTGGGATTTTTCAGGACATCTGTAAAGATGTCTTTGCTGTTTCTGTTCTATTTACCACCAGTTCACATGGGGTGGGAGTGGGAGACAAAGAGAATTTGGTCCATTCTAAGTTGGTTTCCTGCCCAATTTTCTTTGACATTTGTAGCTGACCACATTTACTTGTTGACAAGAACTTGTAAGTAGCAAAGATAAGTAAAGGAGAAAATCCACTGCAAGATAAACAGACAACTTATTTATACCCAGATTGCTGGCTCTACCCATGATTTAAGTACAGCTGTGGCTCAGGATGTACAGTTCACAGGAAACACCGCTGAGGCACTGAGGTAGCTGGCATGTCCTAGAATCTGCAAAAAGCGTCTTTAAGCCTGACTGTCATCCAGAGAAAGAACCCTCCACCTCACTGTTTGATTCACCTTGACTGCCTGGTGGAAGCCTGGGCATCTTCCCTCCAGCTGACAGTGGTTTTAACAACCTCCCCTGCTGAAAAGTATTGTGGGTTTTTTTTTAATATAATATTTCTTATTTGTTCTTTGAGCATTTCATGCATGTACACAGTGTATTTTGATTATGATCAAAAGGTGGTCTCTTAACTTTTCACACCCACAGGGGAAGCAAGTAGCACACATCAGTTTATTCATAATTGCTAAAATAAAAAGAAGCTAAATGCCCAACAACAAGGGACTGGGTACATAATTCATTGACTATTTAGCATAGTACTATGGTACTTTTGATATGCAATGTTAGATGAAAATTACAAGTTTATCAAAGAACAGAATCTCAAAGCAGATCTTCTATGTTAAAATTCTAATGTAGGCCTCTTTTTTTAGACAGATTGTCACAGAGAAAAGTCTCCCATAACAATCATTATGTCTGAGCAATGTTATGTTGGATCATTTAGATTTTTCTCTATTTGTTTATTTACTTTTTCCAGTTAGTTGTGGAAACACCTGGGGGAAGATCTCTTGGTCCTGCAGTCTGTGAGACCCCGAAACTAGAGGCCTCATTTGAGAGAACAAGTAGATCCTCTACACAGACCGACTGTAAGGAGAAAACTACTCACTTATCCAGCAGGTTCTCTCTTGGGATCCGAACCTTGTCAAATATCAAAATTCCGTTATCCACACCATTCATTCCTGGGGGAACAGAGTAAAAATGTAGATGCAAGGGAAAGCTAAGCAACCTTCCAAAGATGGCCTCAGCTACTTCTGGGCCTAAAACATAAACCTTCAACATTTCCAGGAGTGCAGGTGCTCTTTTGTTAGGGGGCATAGTGATGATGCTTTCAGTTTGTTCTCTGGGCCCTGGCTCAGACACACCTGGCCCATCCCCAACCCCCACCCTGAAGAAGACCGGAAGACGGTGATGTGGTTTTCCTTGTTTGCAGCCCCACAGTGTGCTAGGGACTCAGGGTCGGACTCTGAAAGGGCACATTTCCCTCCCCTGCAGCCAACATTGGTAAAAGGAAAAGTTCAGGGCCTGAGGAGACATCTTGGTGGTTCAGAGCACTTGATGCTCTTGCAGAAGACCCAGGTTCAGTTCTGAGAACCCACACGGTGGCTCACAACCACTAGCAATCCCCGTTCCAAGAGACTGGCGCTTCCTTCTGACCTCCCTGAGCAGCAAGCACACGGGCGGCGGTGTGTGGGCACGCCGGCAAAACACTTATCCACGCAAAATCAAATAAAAGTTAAGAGGGAGGGTCCAGGCAAGAGAAAGCATGGGACCCTGAAGACAGAAGTCGGCCTGTCCCAGCACAGCTCCTGCTTCCTCCCCATCTGAGCTTCCTCCTCAGGCACAGGAGGAAAGTAAATGACAGAAGACATAGAAAAGCCAAAGCAGTCCTTCCGCAGCTGCCAAGGTTTTCAACATGTGGCATGACGTCATAAGCCCTGGCCTGTCCCTCTGCTCTCAGTGACACTTGACACTCCAGGGACCTTCAGGGACCTTGTCTAGCAGCAGTGCTTGCCAAAGGGAAGGATTGAGGTCACCCCTCTACTGTCCCATGTGACTCCCTTATCTCTTCCTCTCTTTCTTCTCTCTTTTATCCTTAACTCCTGCATCCCTTTCTTTAGCTGGTTCCCCCTTGGAAACCTGGTCTCACTGAGTACCATGGGATGAACTGTAGATTGTAGATCCCATTTGTGAATTGAAGTCCTAAGCCCTATGTCTGTAATGCAAACGTGTTTGGAAACAGAGGCATTACAGAGTCAACCAGGTTAAAATAAGGTCATTAAGGTGGGCCCTAATACAAATGATAGGAGTCCTCCTAAGAAGGAGAAACCTGGAGACAGATGTGTGCCCAGGAAGGCGACATGCTCATGTGAAGACGGCATTCACAAGCTGAGGCAAGAGTCCTGGACCAGAACTTTCCATTGCCCCATCAGAAGGAGTCAACCCTAGCAGGTCTCTCATCTCAGGCCTGTTATAGATGTCCTGAGTCCATCCTCAAGGCTCACCAAGGGCTGACTGGACACAAACATCAATCTGGAGGTAAACACTCACCAGAGAGCAGAAGCCTGCCCTAAGTCTAAGAAGAGAGAAGTTGAAACACCCTTTGGGGACAAAGCATCTTTGTCACTAAGAAACTGAGAAGTAAGGAGATAACAGCATCAATGCATGGTCCCCTGGCAGTTTGGTCCACCGCCATGGTTTCCTCGTGATGAAAGTGGTTAGATTCTCCTTGGCTGTGATGGGGGCTGGAGGACCCACAAGAGGCACAAATAAGACAGAGGACGGTCACCTGAGGACTCACCTTCTTTATGCATCATATCAATGGCTGTCACTCCTGGATACAAGTTTCCATTTTCATCCCTGATAGGAACGATGAAACAGTGGGGCCCTAAGGAAGGCAGAGAGACAGGCCCTTATTAGGTCTCCCTTTTTACTGTTTTTGAGACAAAGTCTAGATATGTAATCCTAGATGGCCTAGAACTCATCATATAGGCCAAGGTGGCCTCTAATTAAAGTTAATCCTCCTGCCTCCACCTTCCAACTGGTGGAATTATAGGAGTAAGTTACCATACCTGGCCTTAGACTCCCCCTTGTAAAGAATAAACCTTCAAGCTGGGTATGGTGGCGTGTGTCTTTAATCCCAACATTTGGGAAGCAGAGGCAGGTAGATCTCTGTAAATTTAAGGCCAGCCTGGTCTAATAGCAAGTTCTAGGATAGCCAAGGCTACCTAGTGAAACCCTGTCTCAAAAAATAAAAATAAAAGAATACAACTTCATGTCTCCTCTGGAGCAATGTGACATTATTTTACTCTCTGAATCCATTGATTTCTAGGCACTGCACCCAACAGTGACTAGTGTCAACAAGTTTGATCATCACTTTTACGTAGAAGGTTAAGTTAGCAGTGCATGTTTTTACAAGACAAAGCTGGCCCTGGGAAGCATGTTTTCTGTGTAAAGAACTGATGTGAAAACAGCAATAGCAGAGAGAGTTCTCCCAGTCTCTCATGTTGGTAACAAACCTTGAGACCGTCCCTCAATGATGAGTTGGGCAAAGACGGCAGCATAGTTCCCATACATGGCGTTGCCAATGTACATCTTCTGGGCGTCTTCACGTGGTGTGTCAATCACGAACTCCTGCACAGAAGAGGAAGGCACAGAGTATTTGCCTCCATGTGGCTCATTTCAACCCCTAGCTCAACACAATGGATACCGTAAGACAGATCTGTGATGTAAAGAAGACTCAGAGGCTCCCAGAAAGCCATTGTCTTAACTTTGTGTTGCTCTGTCCCTCTGTGAATGGCCTTTGCCTCCATCTTTGCTTTGAAGGTGACTGGAAATGAAAGTGGGCTTTCCTTTTTGGTGCATAATTCAATCAGAAAAATAAATGGGCCAATTTTCATTCATTCATTCATTCATTCATTCATTCATTCATTCCTCATCTCTGTCTTTGACAGTGTCAGGCTGATGTGTGCCCTCTTCTTCATCTGCCAGGTTTCAGTGTGTTAACTGTTCCTTCAATTATCAATTCCTGTCATCCAACTAACTCATACTGAGGATTCTGCTTTTAAAGAACCCAACACCAAAACCGCTACAAGAGCTAGATGTGATGGCACAGGCCCCAACCCCAGCTACTTAGGAGGCTGAGGCAAGAAGAATATACTTTCAAGGACTGCCTGGACCTCACAGTGAGTTTAAGAGCAGCCTAGGCAACCTAGCAAAGCCTTTTCTCAAAATAAAAATAAAGGGATAGGGTAATAGCTCAGTGGTTGAATACTTAATTCCCATCTCTCTCTTACACACACACACACACACACACACACACACACACAGTCACCTAGCTCTCCACACACCCCTCACCCTCAAACACTTCACCTATGAGGTGCCCATGAAAAGAGGGAACAGCCCAATGATCCAGGGCCCCGGGATGGTTTGTTCCTGAGTACACAAATGTATGTTTCATTTTGTCTTCCCCTTCTGGGTAAACTCATGTCTTCCACTATTGCACGGGCCTGGCCAGCCTGCAGCCATGATAAGAACTTTGTTTAAATGACAACCAACTCATCAAAAGGCCAAAGCCATGTGCTTGGCTGCAAGCAAAACAGGTACCTGTGAGCTATTCCTATCATTGCTTAGCATATCACCCCAAAATCATTTTAATTTTGAATTTTTTTAAAGGAAAGGAAAACACCTATCAAAGCCTTTGGCTGGTTGTCTCAGAACCTGTTGCAAACATCTTACTATTCAGTGAATACAATAAAGCCCCCAAGGTCCCATACTAGAGTCATATGCCCCCCCCCCAAGCCCTTGGAACAGAAACACCTGTAAAGGAACCTCGGTCTTCTGAGAAAATATTAGAATGCCTCACGCAGTTTGTCTCAGTAAGAGCCAAGGATTCCAGCTCCAAAGACCCTGAAACTAACCCTGGCCTGAAGAAACAGTGACAGGACAGCAGGCAGAGTTTGTTTCCAGTCTCCGCTCAGACCCAGGCTTCTCTTTCCTACTGTCTGGAAACCAATACCAGTGGAAATAATTGCCATCGAGGCTGGGATCTCCCCAGTCTTGCTCACCACATGGGTTACCCTTAAACCTCTCACCAAGCAGGTACTGACCATACTGCTAGCACTGAGTACAGGGTACCGATGGACAGGTCAGGGGCCCAGAGGAAATGGCAGAAAGCTGAACTGGCCATTTAATTGGAGCTGACAATGTAGAAGACATGATTCAGCTAAACCAACATGCTCTTGATCACACAAGGATTATCTCAGATTTCAGATTATAAAGTGTGTAGACTGTGCTTTCCCATCGGGCCAAGAAATACAGTCTCGAGGCCTAAGACAACAATCTCTGACATCAGTTTGTACAGGAAAACCTTTAACATGTGCAGGGGCTTTTCAGAAAAACACATGGACGAGTTGAGAAGTCTCTTGAGATTGCCCTTGGCTTATCTGGCCAGCCAGGGCTTCTGAAAGAGGGGGTAACTCAAGGCTGCATGCGATGGGCAAGAATGATAAACAACCTGTGTGCATGGGTCAGGAGGCAGAGAAGAGCCCTGGAAACACAGGGCTGCCAGGGGAGAAGGTGGGAGGCCACCAGTCCTGTACTCATCAAATACACCCCAGGGGAAGAGGTTTGTCACTGCTGGCAAGAGGCTTGACGTGGAAAGTTTGTATCAGCCAAAAGGCTGGAGTTGAAACTGTAATCTAAACAATGCCCAGCATGTGTGCTGCTTACAATTATGATTACTTGTGGAAGACCAACAAAATGGTCAAAGTTGCAAACACTGAGATGTAAAAAAATAAAATAAAATCAGGGGAAAGGTAGAGGGCGAGAGAGATGGCTCAGTGGTGATGAGGATGCACCACTCTTACAATGGAGCTGACTTGGGGTCTCAGCACCCCTCCCTGTCAGGTAGCTCACAACTGCCGGTAACTCCAACTCCAGGAGAACCCACATCCCTGGGCTTTGAGGATCCCTGCACTCACATTGTACATGTACCCCCCCCACACACACACACACACATACACACGTACATATGTAAAATAAAAAGTAAGCCTTCTCAAGTAAAAAAGGGGCCAGTGAGATGACTCAGCCATTAAAGGCATTTGTCTCAAAGCCCAATGACCTGAATTTAATTCCTGGAACCCATATGGTAGAAAGGAGAGAACAGACTCCTGCAAAGTGTTCTCTGACCTCCACACGAGTGCTGTGGTACATGCATGTGTACAATAAAAACAAACAAACAAATAAATAAAATGTAAAATAATAAAATTTAAAAAGCTTTGGCCATACCTCATTTATTTTGGCTAGTTAGCACAGAGTATGACAATAAAAGGCTCATCTCATAGCTAACCATACCACTAGCTAATCTATTCCCCTACAAATGAAAACAGAAGAACCAAAAAACAAACAATCAAAAAAGGAAGGGAGGGAAGGAGGGCTCATTTGCTATGCTATATGACTTTCAAGGGGAAATGAAGGAGAAACAGGAATCCAAGGGAGAAAGCCCCCCTGTGTTAGTGCCCCCACACACACACGCACACCACCATCCTGCTTCCCTCCCGGCCGAACTTCATGACTGACTTGTTCCCTCTCCCACCCACTGGAGAGACAGAGCTCACCATTCTCCTCATCTGCAACTCCCCTGTCAGAAAGAGGCAGCTGTGGAGGCCCACCAGGTGACAAAATCATTTACACTGTTTGGGGAAAATGGGACCAATGCAAGAAATTATTTTTTGTTGAAAAAAATGGTAAGAAGAAACAAGTAAGAATTGTGGGTGGTTTTTCCTTCACAGTAATGACTGCAAGGTCACCTCAATGTCACTGTTTGGGAAAAGAATTAAAGAAAAAAAAAAGAGGCCAGCCAAAACCCACAGGATATCAGGTCAATAAAGCATCACTTGGCTGGGAAGCCACACTCTTAAAGCAGTTCTATTTTAACCTAAGAATCCTCATTAACTCTATCACTAGAGTCAGGTTTCTAACCTCTGTGAGCCTCAGTTTCTTCGTCTGTAAAATAGGGACAAAAATGTTTCATTGGCTGGTTATCTCAGTGTTTAGCTAAGTGCCTCCTTCCACTTGAATTCTCAACTAACAGAAACTGCTTAACCGATTTAAAGAGAGCATTCATACCATAGAGAAGAAGCTGGAATGGCATGGCAGGGCACAACCCTTGCTCACCATATGACCAGGGACATCATTGACTGCTGTAGAGAAAGAACATCAGGGTAGGGGAAAACCAGCCTCTAAGACATCTGTCACCTGAATATGACATTATAAACACTGCCATTCATCTGATGAGGATTCGCCATCCAAAAAAACAAACCTTACTTTCAAAAAGTCCTGATTCAGAAAGGCAAACTCACAGGAAGTGGAAGACTAGAACTGGGCACAGACACTAGTCGGACGCCCCTCCCCACCCCGCTCACAGACATGGCTGCACACATCAGAATTCAATCGCTCCTTCGTAGTCCCTAGGCATACCCAGTACCAAATAAGAAACCCCACTAGAGGGTAAGATAAATCAGCAGTGGCTTTCTTTATCCGGCAAGGGCAGTGGGGGAGCGGGGGGCGGGGAGTCCAGTAGTGGAGAGCTACAAAGGAGAGCTTCCACCTTGCTCTGGCTGTGGTCCATTAAGGAGCAAGACACCAGATGAGAAGGTCTTGACCAACATGTTTATTTCATGAATAAGAACGGAAAAGACAGGGCTCAGTGGGTAGAAGCACTTGCCACCAAGCCTGAAGATCTAAGTTCAATCCCACGTGGTGGAAGGAGAGAACTGAATCCAACAAGTTGTCCTCTGAGCTCCACATACATGCTGTGGCACACACACACACACACACACACACACACACACACACACACATTTTAAAGGGAAGGGAAAGGAAGAATATCGAAAAAAAGAGAAACAAAAGAACAAAATGAATAAAAACAACAAAAAGTGACGGTGGTGCCTCCAGGTTGTCAAGGAAACCCCATGCGAGTCATGGTTAAGATCACCGCTCAGGGGCTGGGAGAGGACTCAGTGGGAAGGACACTTGCTGCTCAAGCACGAAGACCTGAGTTTAAACGCCCAGAACCCAGGGGAAAGGCCAGGTGTGGCGCTACATGGCTGTGACCCCGTGCTGTGCTGGGCAGAAACAGCAGCATCACTAGGGTGTGCTGGCTGCTAGCCTAGCTCCATCCACACTCAGTGGGGGACCCTGTCTCCAGGGAATACGGTAGAGAGTGGCAGAGCAGGGCACTCTACCCCTTCTTCTGGCCTCCATATGCTTAGGCATGGGTGCACATGTGTGCACATATATCACACATACACTCACACCATATCTTAGTTAGGGTTTCTGTTGTTGTGAAGAGACACCATGACCATGGCATCTCTTATAAAGGAAAACATTTAATTGGGGTAGTTTATAGTTCAGAGGTTCAGTCCATTAGCATCACGGTGGGGGCATGGAGGCATGCAGGCAGACACGGTGCTGGAGAAGGAGCTGAGAGTTCTACATCTTGATCCAAAGGCAACAGGAAGTGAACTGAGACACTGGATATAGCTTGAGCATAGGAGACCTCAAAGCCAGCCCTCACAGTGACGCACTTCCTCCATTAAGGCCACACCTACTTCAACGAGACCACACCTCCTAATAGTACCACTCCCTAAGAGCTTGTAAGGGCCAATTACATTCAAACTACCACACAAACACACATAAGAACATTGCATAATACAATTAATTGGCCCCTTTTCCACATGAATCCTACATCACTGGAGTCAACCAACTATGTACTGAGATACATTTTAATTACATCTATACTGACTACCTACAAACATTGTTTTCTTATCATCATTCCCTAAATGATATTGTTTAACAGGTACAGAGCATCAGCATTATATTAGGTATTAGAAGTCATCAAAAATGATGTAAAGTATACAGAAGAATGTGGAAGGTCCTAAACAAATACCATGCTACTTATATGAGGAAATTGAGCGTCTGTGTATTTTAGACTTATCAGAGGTTCCTAGAAGCCGTGAGACCCCATGAATATTGAGGGACAACTGTGACAGCATAGAGGATTTAGCTCCTGATCAGGACACCTCAGCTCTGGATGTGCTGCGGTGTGCAGAACCAGCAAAGACCTCTCCTCCCTGCTTCATAGACTACTGTTGGAAAGAGCAACAATGTGGCTAGTGCTGATCCCATGGAAACGGTTCAGGGGAATCACTCAAGAGTGCATGTACAGAGCGGAGTCCCATTGGTGGCAGGAAGCATGTGAGTGTAGGCTGGCATTGTTCTCAAAGGCTGAGCTCATGTCCATCTCTAAAACAATCAGATGCTGTTCTGAGCCCCGGCTTCTCAACCAGAGCGCATGCCGAGGGTGTGAAGCCCAGCTCAGGAAGATGGGAAGGTCTGTACAGGTCCCCTGTTGCAGTGAACCATGAAACAGGAAACAGATTCTTCACCTGCTTGTCAAGGTCAAAGGTGGCCTCGGTCTGGATCCCTCTCACGTTGCTCCCGTGGCCCTTCTCTGTCATTGCGAACATCCCAGTATACCTCTGCTCCTGAAGTTCAGGGGATATGAAAAGAAAGTTAGCTGGTCAGATGAGCTCTAACTGAAGAGCTCAGGCCATTAACAATACTACAAGAAGAGGAGAAGAAAGCTGGAGACGACCATAAAAAAATTATTTTGTTGACATCTATTATGGGTTCAGGAACATGACAGGTGAGGCTGGAAACATGACTGGCTCAGTGGTTTAGAGCACTTGCTGCTTTTGCAGAGGACCTGTGTTCAGTGCCCAGCACTTATATAACAGCTCACAACCATCTGCAGCTCTGCTTCCAGAGGATCCGACATCCTCTTCTGGCCTCTGAAGGCACCAGACACTCATGTGGTATACAAACATACATTCGGGCAAAATATCCATAGACATAAATTTTTATTAATCTTAAAAAAATGACAGATGTAGAATAATATTTAAAAAGATAATCTTGAAACTCTAGAACAAATTTTTTTCAGATTCTAATTCTGTTTTTTTTTTAATCAAACACACACTCACACAAAAGTACTATGATTTTTTTTTAAATCTCCATGGAAAAAGCTATCTACTAATGTTGGAGAATATCATTTTAAGGTGTGTTACTTTTGTTTATGTTGGATTTCTTTAACTCTGTGACGCTGTGTTACAGTGACTGTCTAAAACACCTGATGGTCTAATAAAGAACTGAACAGCCAATAGCAAGGCAGAAAAAAGGATAGGCAGAGCTGGCAGGCAGAAAGAATACATAGAAGGAGAAATCTGGGAAGAGAGAAGAAATAGGAGTCAGTGAAGGAGGGGAACATCAGGGGTCAGCCACCCAGCTATAGAGCAAGCCACGGAGTAAGAGTAAGATTTATACAAGTAAGAGAACAGGAAAAGCCCAGAAGCAAAGGGGACATGGGATAATTTAAAGTTAAGGAAAGCTGGCAAGAACCAAGCCAAGCTAAAACTGGGCATTTATAATTAAGAATAAGCCTCCATGTGTAATTTATCTGGGAACTGGGTGGCAGGCCCCCCAAAAGATAAAAAAACAACCAACAACATACTAAGGCAAGCATCATACCTTGAGTTGCTGAAACCACTTGGTAACATGTTCAGGACTTCCAAGATTGTTGATGGCACCGCCAAATAACAAGTAAATGATTCCACACTAGAAACAAGGAAAGTACAAACAATGACTAGCCACAATCAACGGCTTAGCAAAAACTAGACCCACTGCCCAAATCCATTCAAGGGGTATCTCTAGGGATCCTTCATGCTACACAGGTCTTCACCTGCCCTTTTATAAGCCCTGATGAAGTGTTGCTGACAGGAAAAGAGGGGTAGGGGAGGGGAGGAGGAAGCAGAGGTTTAAGAAAGAGGAAAAGGAGAAGTGTTTTAGTTTGGTCTCTGCTGCTATGATAGGCATAATGATCAAAAGCAACTTTGGAGTGAAGGGTTTCTTTCAGCTTCCAGGTTACAGCCATCGTTGAGAGAAGCCAAGGCAGGAACCTGGAGGCAGGAACTGAAGCAGAGGCCACTGGGGAATGTTGCTGACTGGCTTGATCCCCATGGCTTTCTCATCTTGCTCTTATACACTTCAGCGCCACCTTCCCAGGTGACACCACCCACAAGGGGCTGGCTTTCCCACATCAAACATTCATCAAGGCATGCCACTAAGCCAATCTGATAGAGAGGCAATTCTTCAGTCGAGGCCCCCTCTTCCCAGGTGACTCTAGTTTACGTCATCGGGTTGACAAAAAAACGCAAAGCAGAAGAGGAGACATCTAGAACAAAGCCACATGGAAGGAGCAGGACAACCGGCCGCAAAGACAAAAGGGCGGAAGTGTGTGGAGATGTGCTGGTGTTGAGCTCAGCATCCGTTCCCTCTCCGAGCCACACATTCTGGATTTCCCCTGAGGACCAGCCTTCCCTAGAATGGGTCTGCAGGGCTTTCAGGTGGCTTTAAGAATGAGTGTGTCCTACACATAGCTGGGCTGCATCATCCCCACAGCCCTGAGGATGTGGCTTCAGGAACAGACCAAGTATCTCAATGGGACCATTCCCAGTGGCTACCAAGATACAATGGAATCCAGAGAGACAGAGACCTGAGGCAACTTACTGCCATCGCCCACTAACTACTGAAAAAAGTCAACACACAACCACGGGGTCAAAGAAAGAGGATGGCCAAGAGATTCGAGCACTCAGGTCTCCCTCACCTGTGAAATTCATTAATTCTAGCAATGAAGCCTATTTTTCTCAATCAAGTTTAAACTGGACCTGTTGGTGGGGGAGACAGCAGTGGGGAGTCACTGGTAACTGAATGAGTCACCTGTACCCACACATTTGGAAAATGAAATCAATCCAAAACGATATAATTTTTTTCTCTGTGTCTAGTTTAAGGACAATATTTTACTCCAACTAAAACAAGTTGAATTTTCCACTCCTAAATCTCTTTGTCTGATGGCGAAGGTATACGTTATCATATATTTCTTTTCTAGGTTTTTTTTTTAACTTTTTCTCCCCCTGGAGAATGGGAAAAACTGGAATTTTTGTACACACACTTGAAAAGCTTCCTGCACTAGCTACATTAGGAAGCAGTTAGGCCAGAGCGACCCACACCTTCGAAGCAAAGTGGCCGGCTCATAGACAACATCTATGTCACTTTAACTCAGTCAGGAAATGTGTGGGGACTTCCCCTCACAAAACCGCAGTCTCCAAACGGCAGACAACATGACCAAGGCGGACCAAGTGCAGGAAGAGTCCAGGGGGATTCCTGAACAGATGACCTCTGGCCTGACATGTCTGCCACAGAGCTCCTAGAGGTCCACAGACAGTTTTCCAGCCAGAACACCGAGTCAGGCAGGCAGGAAGCGGTGATGGTGGAATACGATGGTCAGCGAAGAAAGAAGGGGAGATATTCAGTATAAATTCTGGAAACAAATTACGAGTTGGATTTGGGAAGGGAAGAGGGATTCTGGAAGATACCTGGCCTTTGGCTGAGTAACTATGTGCATGAAAGCCCATTAGCTGTCATTCTGGAGCTTGCAAGAGCTGGCATGAACCAGGGAGGGGATGCTCAAATGAAGATATCAGGACAGAGATGCTGCAGCTGACAAAAGATGGACATCTATCTATCCAAACTCTCCTCCCAGAAGACACTGCATTCACTGCTGTAAAACCATCCGTGTCCTGTCCCTGGTACACCTCAGGAGACAGAACACCAGGAAGCCCATTTGTGTTAAGACAAACTGAGGAGAGCAATTGAGACACCTTACGAAAACCCTAACTGCAAACGTGTACTCAACATGTACTGTTTTGGGTGCTTCTCTCTCCTTTCTCCACAATCTATAGAGGAAAAAGAATGGTTGCAACATCAGGAGTCTGAAGCAATAACCACAGCATGCCCAGAAAGGGCTGGCAGCAGCCCCCACAGCTGCCCCTGGGGATGCCTAGAGGCTGGCATCTGAAGTCAGGACAGTATCAAGGGACAAATGATGAGCCTCGGCAGAGCCTCGTCTTACCCATGGGGATGAGAAGGAGATTCTGGTCACCAGAGAAGATGACCTCACCTCCATTTACCAATGAAGCCACCATCTGGGAGATAATCAAGGAGGGCTCCTGGGGTGGACCGTGAGAGAGCTTAGTCAGCAAAGTGCCTGCCTTGTCACCACAGGGACCAGAGTTTGATCCCCAGAACCTCCATAAAAAACATCCAGGTGCCAAGACATGCATTTGGAGTCTCAGTCAGTGATGGGAAAGCAGACAAGAGGATCTCCAGGGCCCACTGGCCAGTCAACCTAGCCTGCTCAGGGAGTTCCAGGACAGCAAAAGGCCCTGTCTCAATTTTTTTTGAAGAAGAAGAAGAAGAGTGTCCAGGAGATAGCAAGATGGTTCAGGAGTTACTGTTGCCAAGCCTGATGACCTGAGTTCAGTCCCCAGAATCTACATGATAGAAAGAGAGAAGTGATTCCAACAAATTGTCCTCTGACCTCCACAGGCACGCCATGATGCGTTCATATTCTCTCTGTCCCTGTCTGTCTGTCTGTCTGTCTCTCTCTCTCTCTCTTGATTTCCCTCTCCCTTTTGTCTTTCTCCTCCCCAATCCCTCTTCTCTTTCTTTCAATACATAAACAATCTAATTATAAAAAATATGGCTGAGGAATGACACCATAGTTGTTTTCTGGCTTCCGTATGTGAGTACGCATGTGCAAGTACACACACACACACCCACACACACACACACACACACACACAAACACACACACACCCTAGTCACACCTCAGAAGGTTATAGCAAGAGGAGCAGTACTTGGGGATGTATTTTCCCTTCCCACTGTCTGTCTTGCTCTTTGTCTCCTGCTCTGCTGTGATGCCAAATATCCGCTACACACTCTTGCCACCACGGCATCACCTGTTTCACCACGCCTTCTCAGCCGTAAGGAGCTGAAACCATGAACCAAAATAAACCATTCCTCCTTGGGTTGTTTCCAGCAGGCACTTGGGTCACTGTAATGCAAAAGTAGCTAATACCTTCGAACTTCCACGTAGGCTGATGAGAAAGCAGTAATGCTCTCCATGATGTGATACACTTATGTAAAAAATAAACAAACTAATAAAAGTTTAAAGGGTTTAATTTTCAAAACCAGATATTTAAGTTAATGAAGGCAATGACTTGTGACAATATAGATCGATCTCAGCAGTGATATCTAAGTGAAGAAAGTAAGTCACAGACATTTATGGTACTGTCTTTATGCAATAAAGACAGATGAAGCCCAGGTAGTATTGACGCTCACCTTTAATCCCAGCACTTGGGAGGCTGAGGCAGGTGGATCTGAGTTCGAGGCCAGCCTGGTCTACAGAGTGAGTTCCAAGACAGCCAGGCTACACAGAGAAACCCTGTCTCAGAGGAAGAAAAAAGAAAGAAAGAAAAAAAGGAAGGAAGGAAGGGGAGGGAAGGAAGGGAGAAAAGAAAAGAATGAAAGAAATTAAGACAAACAAGTATAATCAATTAATACATGATATGTGTATTAATGAAAACAGTATGAAAAACCAAGCAATAAAAGAGACATGCACTAGTGATTCCAGTACTTGGGAGACAGAGGCAGGGGTTCAAGGCCAGCCTAGGCCATAGGAAAACTATCTCAAAAGCAAACAAACAATAAAAAGCAAAAACAAGAATGAATGACGGTAGTGAAAGAGCAGGAAGATGGGTCGTGATGTGGGAATGGGTGATGATTGACAGTGAAAGAGCAGGAAGATGGGTCGTGATGTGGGAGTGGGTGGTGATTGATAGTGAAAGAGCAGGAAGATGGGTCGTGATGTGGGAGTGGGTGATGACTGACAGTGAAAGAGCAGGAAGATGGGTCGTGATGTGGGAGTGGGTGGTGATTGACAGTGAAAGAGCAGGAAGATGGGTCGTGATGTGGGAGTGGGTGATGACTGACAGTGAAAGAGCAGGAAGATGGCTCGTGATGTGGATGCTCTACAGACACCCATTCACTAACTACACTGAGAGCTCACAGTGATGTCACTCCCCTCCTCAGCTCCTGAAGGGTGAGATGCCCAGGGCCTCGCACCTTCACACACGTGGCCACATCCACCATGCAGAGCACTTCTCCCAGGGCAAGGCTTCGGCTGACGAAGTTCTTCCTTTTTTCTTCCTGAAAATACAATAGACCCAATGTCAAGATTTACTTCTGGTCTTCTGATCTCGAAATAGACATTTTAAATAATATGTGATATGTGTAATACTTTCACAATAAAACAACACAAAGCAATTTTAAGTTAGGAAATAATCTCATTGCTCTTCTGAAAATAAATGTTTTCATCTTGAGTCAATGTGGCCTTTGGTCTCTGGCCATTTGGGTGTGGTTTTCAAGGAATTTTTTTCCTTTCTTTTTTTAAGTTTTTAAAAAAATAACCATTTATTCAGGGGTGTATGCAACACAGTGGATGTTTAGAGGTCAGAGACCAACTTGCAAGAGTCAATTCGCTTGGTGGGTCCCGAGGATCTAAATTGGATCATTAAGGTCAGCAGCAAGTGCCTTTACCTGCTGCTTCACCACCAAGAGCCCTGTGGCCTCTTTTCTTACACAACAGGAAGTCATCTGCTCCTGCTTGGAAGTCAGCCTGGGGACAGATACTTTGTCCCCATCCACTGCCCCCATCCCTAGACTCTACTTAGCCTTGACCGAGCTTGCCCCTGGGCTCCCAGGATGTTTCTCCTGCAGTATAGGCAGCCAAGACACCCTGCCTAGCTTCTCTAAGTGTTCACACAGCAACACTGAGGTGAAGAAAATCCTTTAGAAAATCTGGGGCATTTTAGATAAAGGAAAAGCCATGGTCTTCTCTTTCTAAGCGTAGGCCACCCCTGGGTTTGATTTATGATTTTAAAACCATGAGATCCTGGTCTCTCATCCCTGCTGATTCTCCCCCTGTCACAACATCAACAACTTCCAAAGCTCAGTGAGTGTACCATTCTCCACTGTTTAATCATAAAAAACAAACTAGAGCGGGCCTTAGGAGAAGGCTCAGTGGGTCAGAGTGCTTGCTGGACACGCCTGAGGCCTGAGTCTAGGGCCTCAGCACCTGTGTAAAAGGCCAGACGCAGTGACAGGTGGGTGTCTGTCATTCCTGCGGCAGAGACTCTATCGGAGGCAGGAGGATGCTAGGAGCCTTTAGGCAGCTAGTCTAGCAAAATTGCATCCAGGGAGAGAGCCTGTCTCAAAAGCATACAGTGGAAAGCAACAGAGAAAGACACCCAACATTGACCTCTGACCTACACACTGACACACACCCACACCCACACCCACACCCACCCCGACACAGACACAGACATACACACACTTTTCAAAAAAAAAAAA